GAGGGTCAAACCAGGCTTTGCTGACCAGGTTTATAGTTTCTTTGCCAGTACAATGCCTCCAAAATCTTAGATGGCTTCTGATTGATTCCATATTTGAGTAGCCACAGCCACTGGTCTGAGGGACACATCATTTTTTTTTTTTTTTTTGGTACTGGGGATCGAACTCGGGTCCTTGCACTTGCGTAGCAGGCGGCGAAACAACTGAGCTAAATCCCCGGCCCGACACACATCATTTTTATGCTAATTCTCTAGACTTGTTGTTCTTCCTGTTCTCTCTCAAACAGGTTGGAACCTTCTTGAGGCTATTTGACAAAGCATGCCTGACTGTAAAGGGAGCTCCCTTATTCTACTTTCTGCTCTTTGAGCTAGCTCCCACTGTCTGAAGAAGAACGGGGCAAGCTTGGGAAAGGTTTGGGAGCCCAGGCTCCCTCTTCCAAATGACCTTTTACAGCTGCCTGAGCACCTCTCTTGCACGACTTTGCTAATAGCAGCAAACTGCAGCCAAGACACAATAGTCTGAGTATTATCAGTCAGCTCCCATGAGTTACAGGCTCTGTGGATGCCCTTCCTCCAAAGACACCCAATGTTAGACCTAGAGAGCCCACATCACCAACTCCCAACCACAAGTGATGTCCCAAGCCACTTTCACAGGTATAGAGCATGCTGGGCTTCCACCACTGCCTTTTTCTACAATGCTCTATTTTCCAGTTTCCACTCCAGGGGACTTCCAGGAAGATGGCAGAGTGGTGAACAGGAAGGAGAGAAAAGCCTCTCCAAGATTTGATGTCCAGACACTGGAAGATAGCAATGTGAGGAAGAGGAGGGAAGTGGGTCCCTGGGACCCAACAAGGATCTGAAGTGAGAATTCAAGCCTACAAGGACAGCAAAGAGAGAGACCTCAATACAGAAGAAAGAGGTGGCAAGCAGCACTTTCTCCCTGGGCCCTGACTTACTGCATGGGAGGAATGACTTGAACCTGCAGTCTCACAGTGACTACTGGCAGCCCCAGAGACCTCCATGGAGAAGTGCACCAGTGGAACAGGGCAGTCGACACAGCAGACTGCAGTGGCTGATGAGTTATTTGGATTCAGATTGGCCAGTAGTCATCTTGGAGAGAGAGAAGCCAAATGAGATTGGAACTCAGACCAGCCGCAGGCTGGCTCCATCTAGTGGCTCTCAGTGTCAGGGTGAGGTGGAACCGAGTTTAAACTGGCAGGAGGCACACAGAATGTTGCAGGCTGAACAAATTGGGTTCCAGCCTCACAACCAGAAATCAGTCTGAACTTCAGTGGAACTAAAGATGCAGGGTTGCTGGGATTATCCACTACCTTACTGTAAATCTAAGGCTGGCTTGCTGTGACTAACCAAAACAGATCTTAGCTCTGCCTGCTCATTCTGTCTACCAGTGACAGCAGAGGCATGCCCTGAAGTGGACATTTTCTTCTTCTTCTTCTTTTTTTAAAATTCTTGTTTTTATACTAGTGTGAACACTGCTCCTAATTTTTGTTGTTGTTGTTGTTCTGTTCGTGTTTTTATTTCTTCCTTCCCTTTTTCCCTCCTATCTTCTTCACCAGCTTCCCAAAATTTGTGTAATCTTCCTTTGTCCTTCAGCCTCGCTTCTAATCTCATCCTCTTCTTCTATTTTCTATTTTCCTCCTTAGCCCCTTTTAAATTTTCTCCCGAGAGTAAAATTGCCATATTGAGGTACTGTATATAATTTTCTAGTTTTAGATTTTGTTATATAACTACATATCTAGTTCATATGGTTAAAGGAGGCAAATTAATAATCACAGTTTTTATTTCCTAGGATGTTTGATGCTTTTGTTGTTGCTGATTGTACTACTTTAGCCAAGGTGACATAATTATTCTAATCAGTTGTTCTTCCTGGTATGCTAAGACTGAGATTGCCTAAGGGTCATAAACATTACTGTAGGCCAGAGCCAAAGAACCAGGGGCTAGGCCAAATAGGCAGCAACTTCTCATCTGCAATAAAATTAAGAGGTAGGATCTTGCAACAGACTCAAAATCCAAAAGCCAGCTACACCTGGAAGACATCTCTGAGACGTAGTCATTTCCTATAGGTTCTAAATACTAGCAATAAAGCTACCTTCCATAAGCAATTTACAAGCATCAACTCAAGAATTAAACTAAAAAACAATAGAAAATGAGAAGATACTTAAGCAAGATACAACCTCAGGCTTCAAGCTCACCAAAGGCAAACCCAGGGGGCAATAAGATGGAACTATTAGAAAGACACCCACTTAGACTCTCTGAAGTGGTAATAGCAGAAGTAACAAAACAGACGAATGAGTTTCTAGGAAAAAATCAAATCAGAAATAATCTCTATAATAACTACAGAAATGGTGACCATAATGAAAGACCTTGTTAGTGACTCTACAGAAGATACAGGTAAAAAAAAAATAGAGGTACTTAGGAAAATGATGGAAACCATGAAGCTCAACATAGGAAAGAAATGGAATCCATGAAACAGATGCAAACAGATATGCAGGAGATTAAAAATTTCATTGAAATTATATGCAGCAGAATGAGCCAGTGTAAGGACAGAATATCAGATCTAGGAGACAGGATTGAGGCTAGTGATCATGAAAAGAAAGATTTCTTAAAAATAGCAAGGGACCACAAAAAATCAATCCAACAGCTGGTAGATAATGCAAAGAAAAATAACGTAAGATTGATTAGTCAATGAAAAAGCAAGAGATAGCGCAAATGACATTTTCTACTCTGCAGAGCCTCCTCTTTTGCAAAGTCTTCCCTAACTGTCTCACCAAACTGCATGAATCTCCTGAGATAGCACATGCCCTTTGCGTCCATGTTAGAGAAGAGCTGGGCTGGACTCACACAACTGTTTCACATACAAATTTCATTCATCTCTAGCTCCATGGTGTGCCCTTTTATGTCCAAATTATATTGGCTGGATGTGACAAAAAAAAAATCTGTCTTGGTATCAGACCTGATTGCAACTTCTGTTTGGTCCTTTGTTTATCAGGTCACACTGGGAAGCGTTGCTTGTTTTCTCTGAGCCTGTTTCCATGAGTATAAGATAAAGATGAAAACATTCTGTGACAGAGACTACCAGTTGCCTCTTAATTTCTATTTCTTTCTCTTCTTCCTTAGTAATAGAGTCACTTAAATTTTTACCTGGAATAGCTGCCCAAAACAAATACTTACATCCTCAACCTTCCTTAAAGCAAGACAGAGCTTCATGACTAAATTTGGCCAACGTAGTGGAAGTGGAAGTGATGAGAGCAACTTCCAGGTCAGGCCTTAAAAGGAAAAGGTATGAGTTCCCCTTTTCCTTTTTCCTGTCTGCTGGCTGGAAAGCTAGTCCAATGGGAGGAGGTAGAGTAACTACCCAAGGCAAAAGATGCTTTGAAGGGTTTCAGAATCACCCAACCACCTTTAAACCGTCTATAAACTATTCTATGAGAGAAAGAAACTTTCTTGTTTAAGGAATTCTGAAACTGGGTCTTTGTTATAGAAACCAAATATGTATCTTAACTAATGTAGAACTTGTTATTTGGAACTGGGGGTGCTTAAAAGCCTAAAACAAGAGGCAGTGACTTAGACACCGAACAATGAATAGCAAGGAGTTGCATACTGGTAAACTGTTGACCATTCCAGTAAAACACAAGGTATGTCTCTCACTGTGAAGCCCTTGCAGCAAATCATATGCTGATGGTCTTTCCACTGTCTGAGATGTCCCCATTAGCCAAGATCCCTTCCTACTCTCTTCAGCTCCACCTTCCCTCCAGTCAGCACAGACATTTTGAGGGATTATAGGAAGTATGCTTAATAAATTCAGCAAGAAATCCAGTAGTAATCTGTCAGGCATAGTAGTGCACACTAGTAATCCCAGCTACTTCAGGAGCCTGAGGCAAGAGGATCACAAACTCAAGGCCAAGGGCCGGGGATTTAGCTCAGTGGTTTCGCCGCCTGCTGCACAAGTGCAAGGACCCAAGTTCGATCCCAAGTGCCAAAAAAACCCCCAACAACAACAACAACAACAACAACAACAAACAAATTCAAGGCCAGCCTGGGCAGTTTAGCAAACTCTGTTTCAAAATAAGTAATAAAAAGGACTGAGGATGTATTTCAATGGTAAAGCACCCTTGAGTTCGATCATCCCAAGTGCTGAAAAAAGAAGGAAGGAGGGAAAGGAAGGAAAAAAGGAAGAGAAAGAAAGAGGAGAGAGAGAGAGAGAGAGAATGCAAGACAGTAATTTATTACTGAGCGTCCACTCCTGGGCCAGGAGCTGGGATGGAAAAGAAGAGGCTGGTAGGAGGAGAGGAAGGGAGGGGCATCAAGAGGGGAGCCAGAGCAGCTGGGTCAGCATTCCGGATTGGGACGCTGACTCAGGCCCCAGGAATGCCAAGGAAGGGGGTGGGAGCCACTGAGACAGGCTAGGATCCGGTTGGCACAGGGGGACGTAGGCACAGTATTCACAGAGCTGGGCTCCTGCTCCCCAGACACCTCCCAAGCTCAGGTGGATCTTTCCCTCTGTAGGAAAGGGTGGGCCGACAGCCCTCAAGGCCACCCGCACCTCTGAGGTGATGTGTACAGCTCCCCACGTGCCTGAGCTGCTCCCTCCATTCCCTCCACCTGAGAGAGGGACAGGCTTCTGGGACTCAAATGGGGACATCTGGACATACACTGGCTACCCTCCCAGGACCACCACGAGCCCCTCGTCCTATCCCCAGCCCCGAGCTGGCCAGTTTGTTCTAATTCCAGCACCAACCCTCACTAAAGTTTCTACGAGGACGAAGCTAATCCCCTTTCCCTCCTAAGGCCCCTGAGGAAGTTGAGAGGACTCTTCGATCCGACCTTCCCCGCACCCAAGGCCCCTGCCGCCTCCCCACAGCAGGGCTCTTCTAACGTCCTCAGAGACCCCAAATAGATGAGGCCCTGGCACCAGCTTTCCCAGGTGCTCCCCTTCCTTGCCCAGCCCGCCCCCAGGCTGCAGGGCAGGAACAGCTGCGCGGGTGGACCCCTCCTCCAGTCCAGCTGCCTGATACCCAATCAGAGAGAAACCGACCCGGCCAGGCTGAGCGCCAGGGGCAGGCCCAGAATAGTGCTACCCAGCGCCTGTGGCGCACTCGCCTGCGTGGGCTGAGGCTGGCCTCGAGGAGCCGGAACTGGAGCGCGCTCGGGTACAGGGGTCCCAGGGGGCAGGTGCGGGGCAGCTGGAGCTTGGAGCGCAGCGTGTGAATGTGTGTGTGCATGTGTAAATGCGTGTCTGCTGGTGTGTTTGTATTTTCTGTGTGTGAGCACGAGAGCCCGTTGTAATCTGTTTGAGTGGCTGGATATGTGTGTATATGTGGCTGTGTGTTTTGTTTTAGGTTTTTTTGTTGCTGTTGTTTGGGACCAGGGATCGAACTCGGGACTTTGCACTCACAAGGCAGGCGGCAGAACCACTGAGCTAAATCCCCGGCCCCAAAATGAAACACAAATCTCTCTTTTTTTTCTTTTGGTACCGGGGATCAAACTTGGGACCTTGCGCTGGTGAGGCAGGCAGCAGAACCACTGAGCTAAATCCCCGGCCCCTGGGTGTGTGTTTCTGTGCTTGTGTGTGACTCATACACATATGTGCCTGCATGTATGTGCATGTGTGTGTGCAGTGACACGTATAGGACCTGGGGGCTTGGAGAGGTCTTCCCCACCCTTCAGACATTCCTTCCCTGTAGACCCCCGTCTTGGAGCAGCCTTGGGGGACCTGAACAGCAGGTAGGTAAAATGCTTCTTCTCTCACTTCCTTTGCCGCCTTCCTTTCTGGAAACTCCAACTCCCAACCGCTAGCTGGGCTTTTATCAGGAGCGGTCCTTTTCCTTCCTCTGCTTCATTGTTTCTTTTCCCCCTCTCCCCATTCTGTGTCCCTCAGCTCCTCTCTTTTCCGAAGACCTGGACCCCAGTACTAACTTTACAACTTCCTAGCTGTGTGGTTTGTGACAAACTGCTTAACCTCTCCAAATTTCTGGTCCCTCACTAGTAAAATAGGAATGATAACAGTGCTTCCCTTATAACACAGCTGTGAGTATAGAATGAGAAATATGTTGGAGAAAAAACTCTTTGGAAGTCTACAAATATAATTATTAATAATGTATTAACTGATCTCATTGCATGACCTCCTGTTAACCAAGTAGGCCTCATTCCCCCTTCCAGAGATGAGCTTTCTAGAGCAAGGTGACAGCCTCTTGTGGTCATCACCAGCCGTAAGCACCAGCTCAGAAAGAATCTGTGGGAAACCTGGGACCAAAAAACCATCGAGGACGAAGCAGGAGGCTGCAGAGCAACGGGAGCCACAAGGTCCGGGGGAAGGTAAGGCCAAGGCCATTTTTGAGGAGGTGGGAGCTGGGGCATGGGCTCTGTTTTGGATCCCTCCATATGCAGAGTTGCATCCAGCCCTCATCTGGGGGCCTCTGCCTCCCCATATGGGAGAGAGCAGCTATTTTGCAGATCCAGGGGCTTAGTGTAGTCACCACGGAAAGATGGGAAGAGCTGCTGTCACATATGACTCTGATCCTTGGCTTCTGCCCTGTTCAGCATCCACGCTTCTCCAGGCTCCTGTGGGGTCACTGAGATAGCACATTTGAATGTGTTTTGGAAGATGAAGTTACTGTCCTCCCCTCCTTTTCCCCCCAACAGGTGCCCGGACCAGGCCAGCTGCTGAGTCCACTGGGCTAGAGGCCACATTCCCCAAGGCCACACCCTTGGCCCAAGCTGTTCCCTTGGCTGGAGCAGGGACCCCACTCACAGGGTGGGACCTCCTCCCTGCTGACTGTGCAGCCTCTGCCGTGGGCTCCAGCACAGATGAGTTGGAGCTCCCCATGGAGTTTCCAGCCCCAGAAGCCTGGGACTGTGAGCTCAAAGATCTGGAGGAAGACAGACCGGCCCTGAGCCCATCCCCACAGGCCCCTTTACTCAGCCTCAGCTGGGACGATGAGTTGCGGAAGCCAGGGGCGCAGGTCTACATGCACTTCATGCAGGAGCACAGCTGCTATGATGCCATGGCGACCAGCTCCAAGCTGGTCGTCTTCGACACCACGCTAGAGGTGAGGCCCTAGCTCCACCCTCCTGAACCCAGCCTCCATTCTAACAGTGCTGCAGCCACCACTCATTTCCAGGATGCTTGCCAATCCATGTCCCTCTGCTGGAGCCCTTCAAAGGTTCCTTCTTAGCACCATGGAGACCAATGGGGAGAGGGCATGCTCTGTGAGAATGCTCTAATTGTCATCACTGCTCTGCCACTTAGTATCTCTAAAACATTGAGTAGGTCACTTTGCCTCCATCATCTCTAAAATGGGGACCAGAATGGTTGCTTTCCCCTGACTGTTTCAGAGGAATCTCAGGACAAGCCACCACAAAGTAGGAGAGCTTTATAAACTGTGAGATATGTGTAAGACACTGCAGAGCCACTCAGGACAGAGTAGGGAACTCTGGGTACTAACAGAAAAATAGGATGAGCTGTGGTATCTGCTCTTCCATTAGGCTAAACTACCAAATGCCTGTACTTTTATTCTTGTCATTGTTTCAGTTTAGCAGATGGTGTATGTCTGCCTGAAGCATGGTGTGTGTGTGTGTGTGTGTGTGTGTGTGTGTGTGTGTGTATGTATTATCTACAGTGTACAATTTAGTTCTACTAGTTCAAGAATAAGTATATTTATTTCGATAGTTTGATATTAATTCTAATGTTTTTTAGAAAAATACAAAGAGCATGTATAGGTAGTATTGCTTAGAATATTGCTCAAAATGAGTCAATATAAAATTAATATAGAGAAAAAACTATGTAACTATGCAAATACTATATAAATAATTACATCTCTAGTTTTTAGATTGACAAACATTGTACTATGGTTATGCACATGACTTCCAGGTGGAAATGCTGAGTTAGTTTCTCACACACAGATGTGTCTGGAGAGGGTCCCTCAGTGCCTCTGGTCACAAGCAGCTTTTTGCTGTGGCCAATGTGTATCTGCACAGTGGCAAATGTGCCCAGTAGTGATTGTGTCCACTGTGTGCCATGACATGGTGAGGACAGGCAGGCTCGTGCCCAGGAGGACCTGGGAGAAAGTCCCCATGGAAGGACCCTCATGAGGACACGGAGAGGCAGGACTGTGCCCACTGAGGGGCACCGACAGAGGAGGAGGAGAGCCTCCTGGAACTGACCCCCCAACTGTTCTTTCCTGCCTTTCAGATCAAGAAGGCCTTCTTTGCCCTGGTGGCCAATGGCGTTCGGGCAGCCCCTCTATGGGACAGCAGGAAGCAGAGTTTTGTAGGTAAGGAGAGGCTGGGAGGGCAGGGATGGTGGGAGTGGCAAGGGGAGACGTCATATGGTCAAGGACAGTGGCATGGCAAGGGCCTTAGCCTGCCTACACCCCAGGGCTATCAGCCAGACTTCTCCCTGTGCCTTGTCTACCCCTCAGGGATGCTCACCATCACAGACTTCATCCTGGTGCTGCACCGATACTACAGATCTCCTCTGGTGAGGAGCAGGCTGAGGCTCCCAGTGGGCCAGGGTGGCACAGAGGGAAGTCTTCAGGGAGCCTGGTGCCTGTGGGGCCCAAGTCTGACTTCCAGGGTCTTGTTGATGCTTCTAGGTCCAGATCTATGAGATTGAACAACATACGATAGAGACCTGGAGGGGTGAGTTGGGAGAGGAGCTGTGGGGTTGAGGGAGGTACCCAGGGTGTGAGGCTGAGAGTGGACTGTGGGGAGTTCCTGGGGGTGCAAGGCAATAGGGGGCCTTACTTGCTCATAGGAAGGGAAGCAGCTGGGCTGTAGAGTGTGGTGGCTGCAGCTCCCTTGGCTTGACTGCTTTTTCTGCAGAGATCTACCTTCAAGGCTGCTTCAAGCCTCTGGTCTCCATCTCTCCCAATGACAGGTAAGCATCCCCACCTACCCACCTGGCCCCCTTCTTGCTCGGTCTCCTTCCCCCATCCCACTCAGCCTTGAACCCCCTTCCTCATCCTGGGATGCAGATAGACAGGCAGAGCTGGTTCCTGTCCTATTTAGGAGGCAGGGATGGAGGATGTTTCTCCCCAGGCTGCCCCAGGCTCACTGCTTTCACCTCCCCAGCCTGTTCGAAGCCGTGTACTCCCTCATCAAGAACCGGATCCATCGCCTGCCGGTCCTGGACCCGGTGTCAGGCACGGTGCTTTACATCCTCACACACAAGCGGCTGCTCAAATTCCTGCACATCTTTGTGAGCGCTGGCCCAGTGGGGAGGAGAAAGGGGGAGTCAAGGGGAGGCCACAGAGGAGCCAATCTTCAAGCCTCGGGGAGGGAGGAGCTGGGAGCCCTCTGCAGGCTACTTGAGCTCTGGTCACCACCCTGTCCCCGCCCCAACTAGGGGGCGCTGCTGCCCCGGCCCTCCTTCCTCTACCGCACTATCCAAGATTTGGGCATCGGCACATTCCGAAATTTGGCTGTGGTGCTGGAGACGGCGCCTGTCCTGACCGCACTGGACGTCTTTGTGGACCGGCGAGTGTCAGCGCTGCCTGTAGTCAATGAATCTGGTACCAGGACCAGGGCGAGAAGCTCTGGCCAGGGTCAGGGGAGGAGGGCATGGTGGGGAGAACATGGGAGAGATGGGCTGAGGATGGGCAGGAGTCTATGTGGCATCAACTTGGAGACCCAGGGTGGAGGGGGTTAGAAGTCTCTGCCTTCTCTGAACCTTGGACCAAGTTCTCTGTGCCTCAGTTTCCTCATATGTAAAATGGGAATCTTAAGAACATCCATCCTGACTACATTGGAGGATTTACAACATTAAAAGCAAAAACTTGAGTGTGTGAGAGGAAACAGCTGGAGAGCAGGTTTTTTGTTTAGTTCAGCCCAGCCAGACCTCAATTTCCTGTTCTGGAAAGGGTCAGAGGGACTGCAAGAAAGTTTTTTTGGTTGGACTATGGGTGTAAAATATTACAAAATTAAATTCACCATAATAAGCTCAGTATGAAAAAGTGCTTTGGATTTATTTATTAATTTGGTACTGGGGATCAAACTCAGGACCTTGTGCTTGCAAGGCAGGCGGCAGCACCACTGAGCTAAATCCACGGCCCATGGATTTATTTTTATTTTATTCTTGTGCTACTGAAGACTAAACTCAGGCAGCACTGAACTAATATCCCCAGCACTTTATTTTTATTTTTAAATTTTGAGACAGGGTCTTGCGAAGTTGCCTAGGTTAACCTCGTACATACAATCTTGCCTCAGCCTGGATTTATTTTTTATTATAAAATGTTAAATGAGTAAAAGTGATTGAAAAAAATTATATAATGTACCCCATATATCTGTTGCCTGGATTAACCACTGTTAACATATCACCATAATTAGTTCATCTTTATTTGTTTCTGTTTTTGTTTTTCTTTTTTATTATTTTCCTTTCTTTTTTTTGTTCATCTTTATTTCTGATGAAATTTAAGTTACTTAACCACATCGGTCAGTATCTCTTAAAATAAATGTAATTTTCTACATTACCTAACAAAATATGAATAATGTATTAATGCTGTCCAATATTCTCACTTCTCCATTTCCCCAAGAATATCTTTTTTTTACAATTGATTTGTTCAAAGTTGGATCCAGTTAAAGTCCTTCATCCCTTAAGTCTCTTTAAGCCTAGAACTGTTCCCTTCCCCCTTCATTTCCATGACACACATGAGTAGAAGAGCTCGCAGAATATGGCACTTCCACACTTGTCCATTTGCTTCCTACACGTGCGCTTTACCTTGTTCCCCTGTTCCTGATTCCTGTAAACCAGAAATGAGATCTAAAGGCTTAATGAGCTGCGACTAAACTTGAGGCTAGAATAGTAGATAGATGATGCCATTTTCTCATATAGCATCTCATTAATAGGCACAAGGTCAGGCTGTCTCCCTTGCTGTGATGCTGAGCTGATCTGTGGTTCAGGTAGGGGCAGCCTGATGCCTCATTACAAAGCCAGCAGCCTAGAGGATGTCAAGTTCATTTCAAAAACCTGCCTCAGGCCCTTTGCACAGCACCCTGGTTCTGATGTGGGCTTCTTTCCCTGTCTTTCTCCTCCCTCCCCCTGCAGGTCAGGTTGTGGGCCTCTATTCCCGATTTGATGTGATTGTAAGTGTCTGTGGGGACTTGGGGTGCTGCAGGGAGGCTGCAGTATGAGGAAGGATGGCGAGTATCTGTGGATGCACTTTATAGTGTGTAGAGAGTCCCATGTGGGGGGCTGGAGCCTGAGCAAGGGGTGACTCAGAGCTCTCCTTCTCTCCCTGCCCCAGCATCTGGCTGCCCAGCAAACCTACAACCAACTAGACATGACTGTGGGAGAAGCTCTGAGGCAGAGGACACTGTGTCTGGAGGGTGTCCTTTCCTGCCAGCCCCATGAGACCCTGGGGGAAGTCATTGACAGGATTGCTCGGGAGCAGGTACCTTGTGCCCCTCCATACATGTCCCCAACACAGATGGCCCCATTCTTCTACACACAACTCCAGCTGTCCCCGATCTTCAGGCACCTGGCCTGCCCTCCCATTTCGTGACCAACTCTTGGCAGCCACATTGGTATGCACCAGGACCTGTCCATTGGGCCCTCGTGCCAAGGGCCACAGCCGGCTGAGTGCTCAGAGCCATCGCCAGCTCACTCCCTGGAGACACCCTCTCGTTCCTCTGTTCCTTGGATCATTGGCCTTGATGCCAAAGCTGCCATGGCCCCGAGGCTCTGCCCCTTACCGAACTCTCTGGACCCACAGGTGCACCGGCTGGTGTTAGTGGATGAAACCCAGAATCTCCTGGGCGTGGTCTCCCTTTCGGACATCCTTCAGGCTCTGGTGCTCAGCCCTGCTGGCATCGATGCCCTCAGTGCCTGAGAATACCCAAGTCCTCATTCCAGGGCACCTCCACACCTGGAAGTCGATGAAGGGAGCTGGGGGACTCAGCTTTCTTCTTCCCTCACCCCTGTTTACCTGGTTCAGGTAGGCTCAGCCCCAGGCCATTGGATCAACCCCTCCATCCTTCTGGGTCCCAGATCTCACAATGGGGCACTCCAAGGATGGCAGTGGTCCTGCTCATAGCTGATTAGCCCCATGAAAACTGCAAAGGCCACCACCTTGTCCCATTCCCAGCTGAGGTCACAGAGGCCTCCTAGGAGGAGTAGACAGAGACAGGGCTAAAGGCTCTCTGGGACGATTTAGCTGCTCTCTCACCATTCCATTACCAAAGGCTGGGAATTGCATAGAAGGAGGCAAGCCAATAAACCTTTGTTGAATGAAATTTACATCTTCAGTAAGATCTAAGACTTAAATGGGGGAGCCTCCACCTAGTGTATGATCTCAGATATTTGCTAGGGGTTTGCAGAAGGATGAGGCACGGAGTCCACCAAATTGGCACTGAATGATGATTTGCTCATTGGGAAGACGACTCTCCCTCCCTCTTTGGTCACCCTCTTCCCTTCTCTTCCTCACAGGCTTCTCCAGCCCTCCCCAATCATCCTTGTCCAGCCTGTACTCCCAGAAGCCCTCGGGCATGCCCAGTTCACCATGGGGACAATGGCATTAAGGACAGTGGCTGAGTCAAGCCTGGAGACGCCTGACCCAGAAGCACTGGGATTACCCTGGGGCCACCCATGCTCAGAACTCACTCGCATCAACCTTCCCCCAACCTGGGTGGAGAGTGGTCACTAGGGTGCAGTGACCCTGAAGCCCATGGGTAAAGTCATGGGCTCTAGATGGCTCTGCTTCTGGTCTATGTTCAGCTCATCCCCTATTCCTGGGAGTCCCAGCTGTTCCTTCCCCAGGGCAACCACTGTAGTGGCACTGTCTTCCTGCTGTCCTGGAATGGTCATTTCAGGGATGCTGGGGGTAACTGTGGAGCAGCAGTTATTTCTAGAGTTGCCTATTGGACCCGGATTCTCTCTCCATCATTGTCCAGAAAACGTTTTCCTTACTCTCGCCAGTGAACAGTGTTCTTTGTTCCCAGTGACTACGGCCTTGTACTCAGATCCTCTAGAATGAGAGGTTGACAAAACAAAAATGAAAAGAATAAGCCATGAACTTGGATTTGACATCGCTCAAAATGCTAGACATTCAACCTAAACTTGTGGAAGATCCCTGTGCTTTCAGAATTCAAACACAAGGAGGAAAACCCGCAACTGGCAGAACAGCAAGTGGCTTTTCTTTGGCACATAGAACATTATTCTGCTGATTTTTAAAATCTTTTATTTATAATGAAACCATAAAGAAAATATTTATTAACCAATTACTTATATAGTACATAAAACCCAGTTTATGAACTCCAATCTGCAAAAACATAACTTTATTTTTCTAACACTGAATGAAATTTTTATTATGAACTCCATCTTACCAGGTGGTAGAGATTAACCTCAGTCCATCTAGGGTCCCTTCCTCATCTTTACCTGGGGCTGTGGGGTGGGGGTTTAAGCAATGTAAAGCTCTGCTCCTCAGTCATCAGCATCCGTCCATGCCAGCACGTATTCTCACCTGGTCATCGTCAGTTGGTCACTGGTATGCGTGGTCACTACCATGTGCCCCTCACTTCCAGAGCCTCTTTGGTCCTGCTTGTGCTTGGGGCATGCACTTCATTCTGGCTCCCGGTCCTGTACCCCTCTGGGCTTCAGAAAGCTCCATCAGGCTGTTCCAATGGGCAGCATATTCTACTCTGTACTGTAATGTTTTCCCAGACTTTACCCAGGAACATGGGGCCCAGGACTCTCCTGCCCTTGACATCTCCAAACCTACAGGGGGGATTTGTCATGCTTACACCCACCCTTCATGCTTGGCTCCCTTCACAGGGGCCAGAAGTGTTTCTTTGTCATCCCCCCCGCCCCCCAGCCTGTGAAATCTGTACCAGTGGGGACGAAGGGCCCTTTGTTCTTGGGCCCTGATATAGTCTTCCAAGTCTGCTATGTGTCCTGAACTCTTGCCACTCAACTTGAGGATCAGGCTTTTGAGCTTCCAAAGCCAAGACTCCGCTTCTGCTCTGTCACTCTCCCCCATGGCAATGGGCACTGCAAGTCCAGCTGTCCAGTGTGGGTAGGTTACTATTTCTAAAATGTGATCCTGACCCCATTACCTCCCTAAGCTTCAGAGTCAGACACTTGTGCTGGACTATCAGACAGTACATGAAGGTATTTTCTCACCAGCCACTTTGCCAAAATCCCAGGGTCAGTGCTGGCCCTACCCTGTCCTACCCAGGAAGGTGCCAGTTTTGGGGCTCAATAGGAGGATGAGATGGGGATGATCACTGGGCCTGGGCCAAGGGAGGATCTCTCAAGCGTTCTAAAGGAGCCTGACACAGGCTGGCTCCAATGCGGGCTGGCTGTGGGCAAGCATCACAGGTCAGTCCTTTGACTATATGCCTCTGGGAAGAGACCTGCAGCCCTAACAGCAAGGCTAAGGACAGCATGTGGGTCTCCTTGTACCTCCTGAGAGCACATGCGTCTCTGCGTGTCTGTGCTCAGTGTCCCAAGGATCCAGCAGAGGGACCAGCCCTCCCCACCTCAGACCCCTCCTCCCATCAACCCCAACTCCAGCTTCTGGCCCAGCCCTGCAACCTTCATGGATGCCAGACAAGAACCTTAGAGTTGTCACCAGGGCTGTGACTGCTTCCAGCCTAGCTCAGAATAAAAAGTGTGCTTTTGTGCAGATTGCCTTGCTGTCCCCTCCTTCCCACATATGAACCTGGGGCTGGGCTGCCCCCAGCTCCTCCTCAGCCCCCAAAGGCTCCCTGAGTTTCTGTGACCTCCAGCCTGGACTCCTGAGGCCTCCTTTGCCTTCCTAAGAGAGCTTCACAACCCTCAGTGCTTCTTCACTCCGGATGTGCTCCAGGATCACCAAGGAAGTCTTGTAAAAAATGCAGAGCCCAAGGCTCATTCCTAGACATGCTCTTTTCCTGATTTTGGGGTGGATTCTGGGGAACTGTGCTTATTTTCTATAAAAACTGGAGATTTACGATTACTGAGACAGGATGAGCATGTGGCTGTGCCGGGACATAAGGATGGGTGGCTCATTCTCACAGTAAAATAATTTGTCACATGATTGGGTCTATCTATTATTTAATTATGTCTAAAGTCTACAGGAAGCACTGACTAAAAGGATTGGCATAATATGGAAGACATGATTTATTAGCATCCTCAAAACTCTTCTCCCAAGCACCCTTCAGTATAGAAGTATTCATTACAAAGTTATGTATGTCCATTCCATGATGAAAGCAAAGTTTGCACTTGACATACATATTAAAACTGGAATCAGGAATAATAACCTGGAAATAAACCATTACCAAGCTAACAAGCATTCAGAATTAAAACATCTGTAGGGCAGGAGGGCATAGACAGCCAGGAAACACTGGCATCTTGTCTATTTTTATTAATAAGAGTGCTGCCTACTTGTTTAAGAAGACAGGCTGTTTTCTTAAAAACATACTCAATTATATTAATCCTAATTTGACTAACAAAGTCCAATTAGCTGGACTGGGAATAGCAATTAAAAGTGTATCTGCTATGCTGGATCAATATCCACCTTTCTGCAGTTATCCTACACCTGCTCTTGTTCCTGCCTTATAGAGGAAGGTCAGGATTTGCCATCAGGGAGCCTCACTGGAATGTGCCTTTGCTGTGATTCTTGCGGACCTTGAAACTCTCAAACCCCAGAAGTATGCCCAATCACTGGCCACAGATAGGCTTTGTGTCAGCCTCAAACAGGGCTTCTGCTTATCACGGGACGGAATCCATCCATGACATCTCATCCATCCTGGAGCTCTTAGGTGTGTTTGACCAAATCACTGTCAAAGAAAGTAAGCTTTTCACTTACAGTAAAGAAGTCCTATCCAGGCATTGTGATGGCATATCCACAGGCAAGGTTTTCAACTCCCAAGGTAAATAAAAGAACTTGAAGCACATTTGTGGTAGATGTATTTTTCTGCAGATATATTGTCTATCAAAAAAAAACTTTTTTGAAAGAAGAGAAAGACTCTTGGTGGCAGTGATGTATTGTTTGGCAGGAGAGTCTCTGATTGTCTTCCTCCACTGCCATGTCTGTGGGGTTTCTGGTAGCAGCCTCTGTGGCCAAGGTTTCAGTTTTGTGTCATTAACTCCTCATCTCTTCTATCTTGTGTTCTGCACTTGCTATAGCTGGGATCTGGAAGGCCCCCAGAGGCCCATGTGTTAAAGGTAGTTCTCGGCTTGTCACTACTGGGAAGGTGGTGCCTAGGGAGAGGTCTGTTGGTCATTGGGGGCATGTCCCTGAGGGAGAGCATGGGATCTTGCCCCTTCCTCTCTCTTTTTTTTTTTTTTCCTGTTACCAGGGATTGAACTCAAGACTGAGCTCGCCAGGCAGGCACAGTGCCACTGAGCTACACCCCCAGCTTCTTTTTCTCTTTTACTTCCAGGCCACCATAATATGAACAGCTTTGCTGGAACTATGTGATTCCACCATAACATCCTGCCTTGTCACAGGCCCCAAAGAAATGGGTCCAATCAATCATGGACTGAAACTTCCAAAACCTGTGAGCCAAAATAAACCTTTCCTCCTTATAAGGTGATTATCTCAGGTATTTTGTTACAGAACAGGAAAGCTGACAAACATAGCACAGTTGACAAAACTATTCAAGAGAGCCTCTGAAGCTGAGCCTACCCCCATTGAACTATGAGGAAATATCACCTGGTCTTTAATGAATCCTCCAAGGACTCCATTCATTTACCAGTCTGCTTAGCTCTTATTTTCCTCTGCATTTTAAAAATTTCCAGTTTGAGGCTGAATTTAGGCCCTAGAGATGTCCAAGTAGACACCAGGCTGCCTCAAAAGTTCCTGTGGAACCTCTGGGGTGTTGGTGAGACTCTTCCGGAGGTACTGATCACATAAGAAGCTATTTCTAAAATAATCTTATGAAGATGATTTTTTTTTTTTTTAGACAGGGTCTCATGTAGTTCAGGCTGGCCTTGAACTCACTATGTACCCAAGCTGGCCTCAAACTTGTGGCAATCCTCCTGCCTCAGTCTCCTGAGTGCTGGGATTACATGACTGCACCACCACCCCCAGCTGAAAATGATGTAGATGAAGATGATGAAAATGTAAATTTTTTAAAAATCAAGACACAGTTCACATACATTAAAATTTATCCTTTCAATGTATATGGTTTGGTGGTGCATGTGTAGTATATTCACAAAGTTGTGCAACCATCACCAGTATCTAATTCATCACCCCCAAAGAAATTCTGTATCCTTCAATGGTCATTTCCTATTTTCCCTTCCTATTCCCAGCCCTTGGCAACTACCAATCTATTTTCTGCCTCTGTAGATTTGCCTGTTCTCGAAATTCCATGGAATCATACCATAGGTGATCTTGTGTTTGGTTTCTTTTACTTGGCATGTTTTCAAGATTTATCTATAATGTTGCATGAGTTAGTATTTTATTTTATTTATTTATTTTCTTTTTTGAGACAGGGTCTCCCTTTGTAGTTCAGGCTGCCTCTCAACTCACTATGTAGCCCAAGCTGGCCTTGAACTCACAATGATCCTCCTGCCTCAGCCTCCTGGGTGCTGAGATTACAGGTGTGTGCCACCACACCCTGCTAGTATTTTATTTTTTATGGCTGAATAATATTTGATTTGTATGGATATACACAATCTTCATGGAGTTTTTGTAAATATAGACTTGTTTCCTTCTTAAAATATTTTAATTGAAAAAATATATATTTCAATGTGCTTTGATATTTATACACATTGTGGAATGCCTATATCAAGCTATTTGACATAAGCATCATCATACAAGCTTACCGTGAGAGTGTGTGTGTGTGTGTCTGTGTGTGTGTGTATAAAGAACACTTAAAAACTAGTTCCTTGGCTGTTTAAAGTATACACTATACTGTTATTAACTATAGCTATCACGATGTATGATTCATTTCCTGAGGTCATTCTTCCTGTCTGAGATTTTATGTCCTTTGACAGACATTTTCCAAATCCTTTCTACACCTAACCCAGACTTTGATAAGCACCGCTTTATTCCATGTCTATGAATTTGGCTTTTACAGATGCCTTCTATAAGATCCACAGCTATCGATCATGTGGTATTTTCCTTTCTGTGCCTAACTTATTTTTTTTTCACTGCCTAACTTATTCTGATTAACATAATGTTCTCCAGCTGGGCGTGGTGGCACACGCCTGTAACCTCAGTTCTCGGGAGGCTGAGGCAGGAGGATCACTGCAAATTTGAGGCCAGCCTGGGCTACATAGTGCATTCAAGACCAGCCTGAAATACATAGCAAACCCCTGTCTCAAAAAAATAAAACCTGACTAGTATTCCATTGTGCATATATAGCACACTTTCCTTGTCTGTTCATCCTTGGAGGGACACTTAGGTTGTTGATTCCATGCCTTGGCTGCTGTGAATAGATTATAATGAACATGGAATGAAAATGTCTCTTTGACATACTGATTTCAAATAGCTTTACATATGTACCCAGTAGTGGAATTGTGGGATCATATGCTGGCTCTGTTTTTAAGTTTTTGAGGAAATTTCATGCTGTTCTCCACAATGGCTGTGGCTTCATGGATTTTCATGGGCGATTCTCCTATAAATTCATTGGGCTGCAGATCGTGAGCACTGGCGCTCTTGCCCAGATGCTACAAAACTCTTATCCCAACTCACATCACACAGATGGCCCCATCCAAGCCCTGGCAGTGGGGGACTCAAGTTGCTTCAGCAGCTGGGCCCTGCTGGTTTGAAGAATTCGGCACATTAGGGAAGGCAGAAATCCCCTCTGGTTGCCTTTGTGACATAGATCCTGGCACCGCTTCCAGCCCCCATCCTCTGCATTTACAAGGACCTCTCACAGATGAGCCCACTACCATGTGGGTTAGAGGGCCAGGCTCTTATAATGGGAAATTCCTGCTGAACCTCTCTAGGTTTGCTTCTCGACGTACAGGATGTGTCCTCCATCCTCCCCCTCCCTTCCTCCTATTCTAGTCTCTTCCCACTCAACGAACTTCTATTTAACATCGCCTAGATGCTAGACAGAGGGGGGGATCCAAAGAGAAAGACACTGGATTTGTGCCCTCCAGGGGATCCACAGTTGGCCAGGGAGACCCTGAATCTACAGGAAGGAGAAAGTGAGGGAGCAAGGAGTTTCTTTCTGCTGCCAGGGCAGGTGGGAGTCACTCACAGAAGTCTGAGTCCACTCAGGAGCACCAAGAGGCAAGGAGGGCCATATATCTTTTTTTTAAACTGAGGTGATGCACAGTAGCTCTACAGTTGTAGTGGTAGCTTCTTGACTCTCCTGATTGTGCCCAACAGGGTCCTTCAGCGTGTCAGTGCCTACAAGAGGCCGCTCCATCCTGGCCCAGAGCTCCTCCAACAAATGTTGTAGAAACTCAGCATTTTCTCTCAAAAGAAGGTGATTTATATTTCATTATTTTTGAAAGGGAGTCTTGCTGTGTTGCCCAGGATGGGCTCAAGTGATCCTCCTGACTCACACTCCTAAGTACCTGGGACTACAGGCATATGCCACTGCACCTGCACGGTGGCTTCTGTTATCTAAAATGGAAGCAACACTGGCAGTGCCACTCTTGGGTGCCACACTGCTGCTACCTCAGTAAGGCCTCTGGGTGAGTTTTGGGGAAGAGTGTGACATTCTCAGGTTCTAAGGAGAAAGGCACCAGGACCTCTCACTCTTTCTAGGTGCTTAATAAAGGGTGTTTCCCAAACACAGAAAAGGGTTCAGATGCAGGTGGTCAAAAAGAATAACAGGGCTGGGGATTTAGTTCAGTGGTGCCACACCTGCCTTGCAAGCACAAGGTCCTGAGTTCCATCCCCGATACCAAAAAGAAAAAGAACAAAGACCCCCGTAATTAGTAGAAGATCTTTTACTTTGTGTCATACCCAAGAATAGTAAGGTGATAGGAGCGGCTTTATCTGCTGTTAAAATGATAGAAATGGCAAAAGCTCAGGTGCTGTGAGAAGAGCACTGAGTTCCTCCAGCCTACCCAGTCTTCCCTCCCTCCTCATCTGAGCCACGTCTATGGCCAGCAACTGCCAAGCCAGGGCTGGGGACTCTGGGACAAGCGCCAGGGAAGCAGGGGCCCAGCTCAGTGCTGCCTCTGCAGGAAACGCAGGCCCACCTTCTTATTGGGAACCAGGACGATGCGGGCCACAGCCTCCAGCTCCTTTGTCTCGGGGGCCAGGACCACCTCATAGTGTTGCATCAGCTGGCGGGGACAAAGCACAGAGGAGCGAGTGGGGGCTTTTTCTCCAGGCACTCTCCCCCTCTTCACACTGCTGCCCTGAACCTCCCTTCTTCTCCTTTCCACCAACCCCTTCACCCCTCCCTGACCTACAGCCTCTTGCACTCCTCCCCACTCACCCTTGTCAGCACCAGCTGCATCTCCAACTCCGCAATCCTGCGGCCCAGGCAGCTCCGGACCCCATAGCCGAAGGGCACAGAGCCAAATGGATGTTGGACCCCAGGAGTATCAACCTTGCTCTTCCTCAGCCAGCGCTGAGGCTGGAAGCTTTCAGGATCAGGAAAGATGCTGGGGTCCCGGGACACCACATAGTGGCAAAACACAAACTGGGTCTACAGAGCAAGAACAGCATCATGAATCCATTGGTGTAGGCCTGTGGGCCCTGCTGGGCATTCAGGCTCTCCGGCCTCACTCACATTCTTAGGAAAGACACAGCCACCAACTTCAACTTCCTTCTCCATGACGATCCGTGAGTTTGAGGGTATCACAGGGTAGAGGCTGCATGGTAAAAGAAAGTTTAGGGTCTGCCTCCAGAGCCAAGAGGGGGCAGAGTCTCACTCGTTCTCCCTTATGTCCTTGGCGCCCCTGCCCCTTGCCCATCACCCTTGTCCCTCTCTGAAGCCCACCAGCAGCCCTACCTCCTGTTCCTGTCCCACACATAGACCCTATGCTCTGGGAATCACATCCTACCGCAGGGTCTCCTTAATTACGGCTTTGAGCAGGGGCATGTGGGCAAAGTCCTTGTGTTGGGGCACCTGCCCCAGGGGTACCACATCCACCACTTGTTTGTGCAAGGCTTCCTGGATCTCTGGGTTCTTTGAAAGGTGGTACAGGGCCCACGTCAGCGTGTTGGATGTCTAGGAGGGAGAACGGGAGATAAAGTGAAGTGAGATTTCTAGGAGAAGAGGCCAGCTAGGTGGTGGGAAGGTACATGAGTGGGTGCATGCAAAATTAGAGTCTTAATTAGTCACAAGTATAGCAGGAAAAGGGATGAGGGTTATGGTGACATTCATGCTAAACATGAACCTCCACCAGGATGAAGACAGAGGAGATGGTAACAAGGAGAAGCCCCACATGATAAAAGGGCTGGAAAAGGGTCCCCTAGAGACAGAGGTGTTCATGGGAAAGCTTCCAACTCTCCACTTACATTGCATTAAAGGAAGTTGGAATTAGGGGCCGGAGATTTAGCTCAGTGGTTCCGCCGCCTGCCTTGCAAGCGCAAGGACCTGAGTTCAAGGACCCGAGTTCGATCCCCGGTACCAAAAACAAACAAACAAACAAATACCACAGAAAGACTATTTCTGCATATTTTAGGGCCGGGGATTTAGCTCAG